CCACAGCCACTGCCACTGCCACAGCCACAGCCACAGCCACTGCTACAACCACAGCTTTAGGCCTGAACAGATTGTGTGAGATGCTGGCAAACCAGCTTTAAGGACATCTTCTGGGAAAATGACAGAGTTTGTCAATAAGGATCTTACAAAAGGAGCCTCAGTGACTGCTGCCCCGACCACAGGAATAAAAAACACCGTGGTACTGGCACATGCACAAAAGCAGATCAGTGGAATAGAATAGAGGACTGAGCTATAGTTCCATACTCCTATAGCCACTTGAGTTTTTAACAAGAAGCCAACAATACATATTGGAGAAAAGACAGCTTCTTTATCAAATGGTGCTGGTCAAACTAGGTATGTACTTGCAAAAGATGGAAACTAAGTCCTTGTTTCTCATTCTGCACAAAACTAAATTTCAAATGGACCATGAGTTCAGCATAAGACCTGAAACTCTAAAACTGCCCAAGGGAAAAGTAGGGAGTGCTCTTAAGAACATGGGTATAGGGATGGATATACCGGGACTCAGGTAGGTCATGGGTGAAGGGAGGGTATACCTATACCTATACACCAGGACTCAGGTATGTTATGGGTATAAGGAAGGTGTATCTATACCTATATACCTGGACACAGGTAGGTCATAGGCATAGGGAGGGTGTACCTATACCTATACACCAGGACTCAGGTATGTTATGTGCTGTGGGATTTATGACAAACGTGTTGCTCTGATTGGTTAATAAGTAAAACACTGATTGGCCAGTAGCCAGGCAGGAAGTATAGGTGGGACAAGGAGAAAGAAGAATTCTGGGAAATGGAAGGCTGAGGCAGAGAGACACTGCCAGCTGCCACCATGACAAGTGAGATGTAAGGTACTGGTAAGCCACAAGCCACATGGCAAAATATAGATTAATAGAAATGGGTTAATTTAAGATAGAAGAAGTAGATAACAAGAAGCCTGCCATGGCCATACAATTTGTAAGCAATATAAGTCTCTGTGTTTACTCAGTTGGGTCTGAGCCTCTGTGTGACTGGTGGGTTAGAGAAATTTGTCCTGACTGTGGGCCAGGCAGGACCAGAAAAACTCTAGCTATAAATGGAACCCAACGTGGGGCAAGAGTTTCCACCTAAAATCTGAGAAAAAGGTTCTAAAAGGGAGCTAAAAACAGCTTCCTAGTCGCCTCTCTCAAGTTAGCAGCAGCCTGTGGGTTTGAACTACTCTATGGCAGGTTCACGGTGTGCGAGCTTGCCCAACAGTATGACGGGAAGGAAATGTCTCCAAGCTGCACATTACACTACTGCTATGTAGTAGATTTAGCCTTTGTTAGTAAAAAAAAGAAAGAAAGAAAGAAAGAAAGAAAGAAAGAAAGAAAGAAAGAAAGAAAGAAAGAAAGAAAGAAAGAAAGAAAAGAAAAGAAAAGAAAAAAAAAGAGGATTCTGGACTACACACTGCTTTGATAAAAACATAGATCCACTGTTTCTAAGAGTTGATGTCTCCCAGAGCTGGTGGTGAATGCTCCACCGCCATGTTGGAAAGCTGGGGTGGGTGGAGCCACCAGCCAAAGCTGCCATTTCAGTCTTAGAATGCTACAGTTTAAAGCAATAGGTTCACAATAAGACAGATTCAGATAA